AGACTAAGAAGTGGTAGGAGATGGCAGTCACTTCGATGCAAAACCAACAGGTACCTCAACTCCTTCATACCATACTCTGTCCGTCTCCTCAATGAATGATCAGCCCAGACGTTAACTACATTATTCACTTTCTGCTAAGATGTTGTTCAGTTGGTTCAGTTTGATTCCATTGTGGTTTATTATGTGTTTTTTTTATTAATTAATCTAATTTATTTTCAGTAGTTTATTTATGATTGTGTGTAATTAATTAATTATTTCGTGTATTGCATGTATGCATAGCAATTTTCCTCCATGGTAGGACCATTAAAGTTGAATTGAATTGAATTGAGTTGAATTGAATGAATTAAGCAAATAACTAAATTAATTAATACATTACAAAAACCATCAACGAAGGTAGAAATCAGTTCTTTGTTTGTCCCTGCGAATGTATGTGTCATGGGTGTTGTGGTTGTGCACCGGTGCCTGCCCTGGCAGTACAGTCTGGGTCCGTAGCATCCTCTGTGCGTGTGTGACCTGTCTGACAATCCTACTGGTACATGTAGATGGTCGACTAAAAATCAGCCCGCCGAGGATGTCTGTCTCACTGCAGAGTTTGCCACACCAGACGTAACACCCCAAAAAAAATGATTTAAAATTAACTACAAATTTCATGAGATGGAATTTTGCGCCGGGGTTATGTAAATCAAATTAGCTTTTGCCCTTCACCGACGTATAAACACTGTATACTCAGTGTCTTACCTCCCGAGTGAAAGTTGGGAAAAATAAATTGGGTGGGACTCGAACTCACGACCTCCTGTTTTTTAGTGCAGATATCTTACCACTCAACCTCCGACCTAACAGGGTCGGTTGGCTGGTTCAAATCAGATGAAGTAGCAGCTTGCACCACATTAACTATTCTTAAGATGGAATTTTATGACAGTACAAATTGTCATCAGGAATGCATCTCCTACACAAGATTATTACATGCACCATCCATAACAGCTCAAGTTCATTTAACATTGCATAAAATGCAAGGTACATTTTATACACAAAACCCAAATAATGCGTTATTGTCAAGGCACATTTCCAATGTTTTTAACAGTCATACAAATATAAAATTTCACTTTTAGAAATTAAATTTGAAACTGCAAAGCAATAATACTTACAGGTAATGGTGAATAACCTGGTCTACGTTTTATTGAAGACCTGTGTTCAACTGGAGTCAAGTCATGGTAAGATTAACCCAATTCCAACTTCGTGGACTTCTCATACACGTACATCTACAAATTTAGGTTGGGTCTCTCCCCTTCATACAATCACAAACAAGTTACACAATATGTAAATTCAGGTTGGGGTCACTCCCTGTAATACTGTGGCGGGGAACCTCCCCCCCCCCCCCCCCCCCCCGGGCCAACCCAAGTCCGTTAGGATAAGTCTGACTCCTATCGGGGTGAAGACAATCTTCCCAAACCAAAGCTCTTCCCTAGACAAAAGAGATCACTCAGAGCGACCTTCAAGGCTAAGGGTGCAGGTCCGTTTTGGTGAAAATCTACCGCCCGATTGTGAATGATTGTTAATTATTTGCCCCTGTTAATTAATTGCACAATAAACCTTTTAACATAAACAACGGAAGCAGAAGTGTCGGTAATCTCAAGCAACAGCAATCATAATTTATTCAACAATAATCATGTACCGGTATATTAACTAGGATGTAATTGGGAGGGTTGTTTTATTTACCAGGTCCTTCCTCACTGGAGATAACCTGCTGCTTGCCTGTGCAACAACGCTTACAGCATTAAGCACTAGACAACAACGCCAGCAATGAGCAACTACGCACAGCGCCAGTAACGCATCGCTTAAGATAGCAATAACACGGCATCACAAGCTCACAACAGCCTAGCCAATGCGTATCAGCTTAGCACTGTACAGTCCAACTAGAAAGGTACCCGCTACGCCGTATGTAAGCCTGAATTCGCACTCGTACAGCTATAACAGCTTCGTACTTGCGTCACAACAGCTAAACATACCAGCGCAACCCCAGTACAGCTAAACAGAATTTTTACAAATCGCCTAAGCAATTACACATGCTCAGAGTACAAGTAATTCACCTACTTCTCTGCCCGCTGTTGCAGCTATACCGCTAAACCAAATCTAAAGAACACCCAACACTAAACACCTAAACCAGCTGAGCCCCAAAACTAGACACTCAGCAACACCTGACAACAAAACCTAAACCAATCTAAACACTCCACACGATCTAACGCACGCTCTCTGAGGCACGCAATTATATACCAACCAGGTACGCAGTCACATGTACAACCACGTGCGTGGAGTAAACCTATGGGACTTATTAACCAATCAAGCACGTGCAGCAACTCACGGAGCTCCTAAGCTCCGCCCAGTCACAAACACACAGAGATTTTAAGCGTTAGTGCTATACGTTCACAAATGAACTGGCTCTAAGCCCACACACCTTCCGTCATAATACACACACGTGTCACTGCATTTTGTGACTCAAGTCCAATCGAGTCATTTTAAGGAAGTGACTGAAGTCAAGTCCAAGAAGGTCGAGTCGAGTCACAGTGTGTGGTCGGGTCGTTTCGAGTCAAATTTATGCTCGAGTCAATTCGCGTCACTGATATTTGAACAATGTCTAATACATCACAGAATGGAATGAAAAAAACAATGCACCAGTACAGTATGAAGATCCAAAGGCCTACTGGGTAAATATACTGCGTAGTACCCAATAGACAGTTTCTAATAAAACTTCAGTTCTATTTCTGGTTTGGCTTCAGGTCTGAAATAATTGTTACGCTAACGTCAAACAAAATTGCAAAAACTGTTTCTGATTATATAGCAAGTATCAAACTGTTTTTTAAAAGGACACATTTAGATGGAGTTCCATAAAGGGCTTAAGAAATTGCCCGAAGCCAATGATGAAACCAAGAATTGGGAAATGCATTTTTAAAAAAAATTTCATTCCATCTTATGAATCATTAAAAGCCATAAATGGCCATAACTTGACAGTAACACCAAGTATGCGAACATTTGTACCGCAAATACATTTTCGCACAGTTTTGGGACTCAAGTGTTTTAAGCCTTCGACTCGAGTCGAGACAAGTTTTCTGATAAGGGACTCAAGTAGAGCCAAGTCATTCACCCCTTGGGGCTCTAGTCAAGTCAAGTCATTTACCCCTTTGGACTCGAGTCAAGTTGCCAAAAAAATTGTGAGTCATTGATTCGAGTCATTGATATGAGTTGTAATGGCTCGAATCATTGACTCGAGCCATTACAACTCTGCCACAGTGAACTACCGTTAAAGCCATATCAACGAGGGAAGTTGTCCGCGTCCTTCCACCAAATTGATCCAGTAGTCTTGGTTCGCTTGGGACACTTCGTTAACAGTGCTTGTCCATTAGAATCACTGCCACTACTCTCAATTTCTGAAACTAGTTGCCGTCATAGTTTTCGCTTCTTCACTTGAAGACATCGTGTAATGCAACTGAATACGCTGTGTATACGGAAAGCCAAGCGCGATATATAAAGCCCAGTGTGATCAGCCCAGTGTAGCAATGAACAATAAGGGCATGTACCGTACACTAAACAACAGCCTAGTCCCATAAATGTGACTAAAATACTGGACTACCTCCGTATATCAGTCACACAGCTACGTACGTCCTGGGAGTGGAGTGTCCCGTTGCTAGGGGAGCCGAAAATTAATTTAAAAAGATCAAAATTATTTTGTCAGCAGAAAATCAACCCAGCTATAGTATGACTGCTAAATAGCACAAAATTGTTAAATTCGGTACCTTCAGAGGTCTAGTTATCCAAATCATGGAAATTCGTCACGGTTTTGAAAAAGCATGGCGTCTCTGGGCAAGTTCGCGCAAGGACTATAGTTAACCATTGGTCGACTAACGCTTGCCCGAACTCTGTCTAGTCGACGATGGTTAACTACGCTAGTTGACTATTTTGAACCAACCTACTGGGGCTGGTTGCATCGCTGGTAACCATAGCCGCGCGCGTTCATAACGTACAGCAGGGAGCCAGGATCCAGACGTTTTGCAATGACATTTTGACCAGCGTTCGACTAGAGACGTTCGCACTTTGCTATTAGTGCGCAGGCGTAAGGTACGTCACAAATCAACCACTAGTCGACTAATGGTCCTTGCCCGAACTTGGCCTCTGATGTTTACCAGACTGTTTCCCGGCCACCTTAATAATAGTCAAGAGGCCAAAAGGGTCAGGGAACCAAACAAGAGCTTTAATCATCTACTGACTGAACGTGCGTCAACTTTGGCAAAGCGCACCGCGGCTGTTGCCCGTCATTCCAAAATCTTTGAAGCCCTCTGCAGTGAAGCGCGCCCTCTTGTGTGCGCTCTTCATCCGCGGTCGCGTATTGCATCCGGGTACTTCACAGAGCGACAAAGATTTTGGAATGACAGGCAACAGCCGTGGTGCGTTTTGCCAAAGTTGACGCATGCTCAGTAGATGATTAAAGCTCTTGTTTGGTTCCCTGACCCTTTTGGCCTCTTGACTATTATTAGGGTGGCCGGGAAACAGTCTGGTACATATCAGAGACGCCATGCTTTTTCAAAACCGTGACAAATTTCCATTATTTTTGGATAACTAGACCTCTGAAGGTAACGAATTTAATGATTTTGTGCTATTTAGCAGCCATACTATAGCTGGGTTGATTTTCTGCTGACAAAATAATTTTGATCTTTAATTAATTTTCGGCTCCCCTAGCAACAGGACGCTCCGCTCCCAGGCCGTACGTGGCTGTGTGACTGATATACGGAGGTAGTCCAGTATTTCAGGCACATTTATGGGACTAACAACAGCCGTGTTAATCACCCACGAAGCCTGTGCGCAGTGCATATCGAAAGCACTGTGCTCAAAAAGTCCATAATCAAGAACAAGTGGTTGAAAAGCTGAATAGGTGATGTGCCCAAAAGCACTGCTCTAGTATCATATGGGTACTATATTTTATTAAATGCATAAAAACATGCCATGCTTACCTTATCCAACTTTCTTGATTGGTCAAGTCAGCCTCAACAAGCTCTAATGGGTACTTGGAATGCACACACATATTCTTCAAATGCTTCACTTTGGTCTCATTAGAAAGGCTCCTGACAGTCCCCCGTACATAATATCCAGCCTGCAGAAGTTGTTGAACAACATGAGATGCAATAAAACCTGAAGCACCTGTAACCAGGACCCCTGAGGAAAAAAAATCACAAGATCTGTGATGATTAACATTGTCGGGACAATAAGGGTTCTGCAGCCAATTTCACAAAACTTTATGCAAAGAAGTACATGTGACTTCCTTTGCACCACAATTTATTGTATAAGTAGGCAGTTTCACGCAGGCCGCCAATGGTGACGCTATTTTTGATGCCCTTTGCACTGTGACCCACCGATATAGTTCGTTAACACAGCCAGAGTTGTAACAAGTCACTGATTTTTGTGACTCGAGTCGAGTCGAGTCATTTTAAAGAAGTGACTCGAGTTGAGTCGAGTCATTAGGTCAGGTCGAGTCGCGTCGAGTCAAATATTTAGCTCGAGTCAATTCGAGTCTTATTAGACTTCGCTCGAGTCAAGTCGAGTCTTCTAATGAGGGACCCGAGTCGAGTCATTTGCTCGCAGTGACTCAAGTCGAGTCGAGTCATTTACCCTTAGGGACTCGAGTCGAGTCGAGTCACGTCGGACTTGAGTCGAGTCATTGACTCGAGTCATTAAAACTCTGGACACACCCGACCGTACACGTGAAAATGCATAGGCACAATAATTGCTAGTGACACTTACGGTGATTAGGCTTCAATGTTTTTCTGGACGCCATTTTTATGGGCACTAAATTGTGCAGTCAATAAAAAAAAAATCAGCGACGGGAAACCTTTCGTAATGGAAATACCGGCCACTGTATTTTGGTAATTTTTGACGATTTCCTTGTCCAACTTTCTTGGTAAAATATAAAGGGCAATCTACCGATGTTCTAGTGATAAAAGGATACTACAGACCGTGGTTATCTTACATGGTTAGTTGATGCCAACTGTAATGCTGGCGGAAAACAGTGCAACTTTGGCAACCCGACGGCAAATACATTTTAAAGTTCATTGCTATCGGCGATTTGACTCACTGAATCTGGGTATCACTCATTGGTGGAGTTTGGTATTCAATGTGAAAAGGGGATAAACTAATTTTTTTACTTTATGTTTTGCTTGTTTATGGATTATTGCATGTATTTTCAGGTAAAAGCACACTACCCTGGGAGACATTTTAACCTGTAATTACAATGGTAAAGCCTGAGGAATGTAAATGGCAACATGTGTAGGTGGGTGGTTCCATTTTCATTAGGGGGTGGAGAGTTTTGCTTGAGTGGCTTATTATAATTTTTTTTTTAGCTTTTTACTGCCATACAATTGGTGTTTTTGATACATGTTTACTTAATATTTTAAATGACTTAATATAAAAATCTATCTGTTTACCACACCATTTATGCGCGATAATATGCGCGATAATACGCGCAGAAGTATGATATGTGAATAAATTATCAGAAAACCTACATATATTTGTCTCATTGTAGCCTTATTAATAATGTGTTTAGTAGACATGCTATAGGCACTTCATGTTTTTTTCTTGTACATATTCATATTAAGGACTACAATGATACATTGCAGGCAAATTCGGTCACAACTTTCCAAATAAAACTGGCCACCAAAAATGACCAAATATTTAAATCAACAAACGTCTGTAACTTTGCATAGGTAGACCTATAATGACCACTGACCCCTCATTTTCTTTGTAATTTTTTGCTTTATCCAGTGATATAACGATTAAAAGAATTGAAACAACTTCAAATTTGTATGAAACTGGCAAGAATAAGTTGAGCAGCATTTCATGCTGCTGTTTCATATTGCACAACAAATTATGGCATAACTTACGCAATCATTTCAGGTAACCCACATTATGGTGCACAGGTGTAGCAATAGTCTAGGGGCTAGACGTTGTTTTAGTTTTGATACACGATAACCTGTCGCAGCGAAAACCCGCCGCCATGAGACGGCCCTATCACGACAGACCAATGTAACCCACAAACCCGTCGGAACAACGTCAAGGCCAATTCCTAAAATACCCCCTCCCCCCCCCCCCAAAAAAAGGTGCGGGAAACTAGTGCGCATGCGCGACTTCTGCAGGCAACTACTGTTCATTTTCAGTCCCACACAAACTACACACAACAAAAGGGCTGACCAGTGAAGTTGCACAAACGTCTTGCTGCATCTTTCACATTACTGGAAGAGACTTGAGAGTTTGCTTCCAAACTAGTATGAATTTTTTTGAATGCGTGCTGCATGTATTAGGCCAAACAGGTGCGCGTGCATTACACAACCAGTACCAATTGGCCTAGACATTGTTCCGACAGGTTCATGGGTGAAATTGGTTGGTATTGATAGCGACCTGTTGCAGTAGCGGGTTATCGCAGTGGCGGGTTATTAGTCCGGTCAATTTACGTTTTGACCTAGAACAAATTGCAATAGAAACCATTCAAGCGTCAATCATCTTCAAATAATTGCACAAACAACATACATGCAAAACTAAATTTTTTCTAAGGAGTGGAAAGGTGTTTTTTTTCCAAGCACTTTTTGCAGATTAAATTTCTGCTTACGCTCCTTGTCGGTCTGCCTCTGTTTCAGACTTGAAAATAAAAAGTTCGAACCCGCAAAAGCCACTGCGTTAACTATAGCACCTCCGATCATCATAACAACAGTTGTTGCCATCTTTTAATGTATAAAGCTTTTAAATTATTATTATAATAAATGACGGATCAACTTCAAAAAATGTATTATAGTGAAAGCGGTTATTGGAAAGGTGAAAGTGTCGTCGACCATTTACACGATAAAACAAATATCGATAAAAAGGTAGTCAGAGCCTTGCTTAGAAAACAAGCAATCTGGCAAATTTATCTACCGGGTCCCGACTACACACCCAGGCCTATGAGTACGTCGTGAGAGTTTGAAACACCAAACAACTTTCATCAAATGGATGTGCTATACCTACCCTGGGATAAAGTAAAACGCAAGACTTATAAATACGCTTTGACGGTTGTCGACGTTGCTAGTTGATACCACGAAGCAGAACCTATGATTTCTAAAACCGCAGATCAAACGAGAGATGCTATCGCCGAGATTTACGCGAGGTCTCCTTTGAGTTACCCCAAAATGTTGAGAATAGACTGAATTCAAAGGTGCTTTCAAACAATTAATGACCTAAAAAAACGTCAAGATTATAGTCGGCAAACCCGGAAATCACAGATCGCAGGGTATCGTCGAAAGATATAATCGAACGCTAGCCGAGAGACTGTTTGGTCATCAGTAGGCTGAAGAAATGTTAAATCCCGAGAGTAGAAACACGCAATGGATCGTGCAATTTTCCGGCGTGATCCAGGCTATAAATGACGAAATTAATCGCTAAAGCACCATCACAGGCGGTTAAACTACCCAGAGTCCGGTAATCGCCGGCTAATCCAGTTAAAAGTAAAGAACAGACTTTACCGCAAGATGTCATGGTTAGATATTTATATTTCCTGGGTGAACAAGAGGGAGGTACTTCGAGGAGAGCTACAGATCCTACTTCGAGCGTAGACATCTTTTACGTTGAAAAAAGAATGAGTCAATTCAAACTGGTTAACGGTAAAAAAGTGATGACGGGTCCCATGCTTTATTACCTACCAGACGGTCCAAAAAGATCTTTCGTGAAACAAGAGCTACAAGTCGTACCGCAAGACACGCAAATACCGCCTAATTAAGATAAGATCTTACGGTGACAATAAGCGAGCGTGTGTATTCCGTCCGGTAGCTCTTAGTATCCAACGGACTCAACGATAGTTTATCAAGCGTTATGGTGTAAAGGACGTGTTTTTCAGGTCGAATTTGAGTCATCGTTTCTGTTTTACATTCATTGTTAAAGATGCAGTCGTAGTAGTGTTGGTGTTTAAATTTTTTGTCCGTTACTGATTTTGTGACTCCCTTGGCTTTTTTAAGAGTGATGTTGTTGTCATCCGCTAAAATCGAGTACATCTTAGGTCTTACTCAAACGGCTTCTTGAATGATCTTACCTCCAAACTCGTCTTTAAATTTACCGATCACTTTTTTATTGGTTGGATCGTACAACTCGTGATCCAGATTGTAATTCGAAAAGTCGTAGTGTTGCCCGTTTTCTCGCATGTCTTTGTAGACGTCATTCATGTAAACGACAATCAACAGACTGTCCGTATCTGTATACATCAACCTGATTTTATCTCCGTACTTGTCTTTCAATCGGTTGTAATAAAAATCGTACATCAACGTCTTGGAAAGATCCAAGACACTCACACCGCAGTAACTTGGTTTGTTTAACACGGTTGTCGTTTCATATTTTTCGACAAATGACAAGTCACATTCTGGAAACGGCGTCGTTGTTTTATAGTTTGGCTTTTGGATAATTTTTTCGTATTTTGCTTGATCGCTCTTGTTATTGTCTCTCAGTAGGTAGATTTCTAACGTTTTCCATCATCTTGCCAAACATGCTGTTGTTCATCAATTTAAAAAAGTCTTTCTCAAAATCAGAGGTCCTTTTTGTTCGGAGTTGTGTGTTTTTATTGATGTAAGATTACATCCAAGGTGCTTGCTTAAATTTCAACACGCGATGTACCTTTTTTAGTTTCAAACCGAGACTCAAATACAACTGCAACGTAACGTAGTGCAAGACGTATTTTTGTTTGGGATTAAGCACACACGTTAATTTTTGTACGTTGCTAGGTTCGGTATTCAATAAATCATTTTGATAATCAGACATCCAAGCTTTGGGTATGACGATATTTTCGGGTGCTAGTGGATAATCGTTATGCTTGGCGTGTAGATGGGAAGGGTATTCTAAATCTACTTCAAAAAAGTAACCGGTGTTTGACATTTTCTTATTAGAGTTAATATTCTTTCTTTGGTAAACGGTTTCGAGGCTGTCCATTTAAAATCTCTGTACGGTAGATACTGACTCATAGCCCAACCGTATAGATTGTTGGCATCCAAATAAGCGATATAACTTGACGGCTTGTTTGAATCGTAGTCATCGAGATATTGATTATTGGCTTTGTGATGTCTCATTCCACCCACGCTAGATATTCCTCCTCGTTTTGCTTTTTCAAAAAATAAATGTTTGTTGATGTCTTGCAACAATTCCAGTTTAGCTTCCGAGTGTTTCAACAGAGCGTCCCACGACAATCCGGGTGCTGTGTAATAGTTTGCTGGATCTAACCTGTAGTTTTCTATGCACGTTCGTCTAAAGTTTTCAAATACACCAGCGAGTAATAATGTGTCGGTTGTCATGTGCAAGTCGTGATATTCTCCTAGATTTTGTATATTAAACTCGTTCCACACTCGTTGAGCTGTGTCGTAGTCCTGTTGCAATATATTTTCGTCTTTTAGACTACTGTAAAACTTGTCGATGGGTGGTAGGCCGGTCTCTTGGAATTTATCGAACGAGTTCATATATTCGTAAGGATAAATTCCTTTTTGTAATAACGAGTCAGCGTTTTGATTTTTAAAATGCTCTTCGAGTAGATTAAACAACTCTTTTGGACAAGCTTTCACTCATTTATCCAATGACGATATTGTGGCGGGAATATCTGTGACCCGATCCGCAGTCCCTTTACCCAGACTGTAACACATGCTTTCCGTAAGGATTATTTGGACATACATTTTATCATGTTACACCGAAATGTCTTCCGTGGAGGTCAATAATCTCTGTATCACCCACGAGGTCTTAGTCTGGTTTATGTTGTGCATATACAAAGTTTCGTGCTATAGAGTCAGGACACAGACATATGCTAGTGTGCATTGTTTCATGTGGGCTTTCTGCATCAAGTCACCGTTTTGGGGAAAGATAATCTGCCCAAGATCTTTGTTTTAATTAATAACTATTAGAAAGCGACATTCAAAGCAGTTTGACCTGACGTCTTTTCTGCTAGTTTGCTGTAGTTGACCTGTGCTCAACAAAGTCGTGAGTCTTTGGTTTCATGACTATTTTGCGTGCAATCATTGTTAGGATTGGGACTCTGAGGGGCACACATGTTTGGGGGGAATAACACATGGGGATTTGTAATGCTGTCATTTTCCTGATTTTGTTATTATATCTGTTCGACACTAAATTAACTGAATAATTTACTCCTCATATGGTTTGTTAAGTATGTGTATTGTTTTAGTGTCATGAAAACATACTTACAATTGTTATTTGATCTGTGGTTAATTTCAGATTAAACCTAGTTATATTCCACAAGTAGCCTACATTTGTGTGGAAAGCGTCAATGACCTCATGAGAGTGCAAGGGTTTATGCAAACAAGGCAGCAGAATTGCGTTACAGTTTAATGACTTTGAGTCACTCTCCAAGTTATTGGAGTTATGGCGTTCCAGTCAACGTTGGCGACCAAATTGAGACGGCTGCCCGCCATCAGTACTTACCTGACAACCACCCATGATGTTCACAGTCCAGGGGTTGTGTGCATTGCACCTGATGTTGAGTGTATGCAGTTGACTGACCCAACTTGCGCCCTACATGGTGAGACTGAGAGCCGTAATCATCAGGTATTTCATCGTGGTCCAGAAGGGGACAAGATTTGAATTGTGAATCATCTTGGACAATTTGATTGCGGCCAAGTTCGTATACCTGTACATGTACTGTAACCTTTGAACTTTGGACGAGCACCTGATTCTGTGTTTCGAGGATATCCCAAGTTCATCGAACTGTGACCTGTGACCTTTGAGCTTTGGACGAGCACCTGATGCCGTGTTTGAGGATATCTCAAGTTCATCGAACCGTGACCTGTGACCTTTGAGCTTTGGACGAGCGCCTGATGCCGTGTTTGAGGATATCTCAAGTTCATCGAACCGTGACCTGTGACCTTTGAGCTTTGGACGAGCACCTGATGCCGTGTTCGAGGATATCCCAAGTTCATCGAAATGTGATCAGTGACCTTTGAACTTTGGACGAGCATCTGACCGTGTTCGAGGATATCCCAAGTTCATCGAACTGTATACTTTGAACTGCACGTGTGTTCGATTTATTGCTTGATTGTTGTGTAATTTTCTTGCTTATTACTTGTAGTGTTCGGTATTTCACATAATTTACATTTTATTCACATAATTGTGTTGATTTATTGATTGACTGGTTGGTAAATTCTTTTCTGATTTATATAATATTGGTATTGATCATAACGTACTGCTATTCCATTTTCACTGCTGTAATTTGATAGTTCACAATGTCAATTTCAAATGCCAGTAAATCCAGCAAGGCTGGTACTTCCAGTTCAATTAGTAGTGCTAGGCTCAAGGCAGCTGCTACTTTAGCAGGCCTTCAGGCAGAAGCCGCAAGCAGGATAGCATTGAAAGCCATTGAAGAGGAAGAGTTTAGACTTGCTCAGCGTAAGCGAGACTGCGAACTCCAGCTGGAAATTGCCAAGGCAGAGGCAGAGCAAAGGGCTCTGGGAGACATTGAACAATCTTCACATGAAGACGAGCCTAAGCCAAGTTTAGTTGGGTCGACGGCTGCAGAGAAGGTGGATCAGTGGTTAACTGGTAACCCGCAGCCATCTGCTCCAGTGCAACCATCATCGCCCATGGCAGCAATTCCTTTGCAACGTGAGATGATTGACACGCTGCTCTTGCCAAAGTGTGAGCTGGTCAAGTTCAATGGGGATCCTCTTGAATACTGGATCTTCATCTCTAGCTTTGATGCAGCTGTTGGCAAAACCAGCGTTGGGGCCAGCGCCAAGCTAAATCGCCTGTTCCAGTATTGTTGCGGAGAGGCGCTGGCAGTTATCAGATGTTGTGCTGTCATGCATCCGGATGAGGGCTACACAAGGGCAAGGGCATTGCTACGTGAACGCTTTGGTAACGATTACAGGATTTCGGAAACTTGGGTCAGTAAACTTACAGAGGGCCCGTGCATCCTGCCAGGGGATTGCAGAGGTATCCAGAAGTTAGCTGACGATCTTCGGAGCTGCACACTCACTCTGACAGCGATGAAAAAGCTTGGAGAAGTTGACACTAAAAGGAGCCTTAGCCTCATCGTAAAGAGACTGCCACAATTCGTGCAGGGTAAATGGCGTTCGAAAGCTGTGGGCATTCTGGACAAGACTGGCCACTACCCCAATGTTGCAGAACTTGTCAAGTTTATCAGCAAAGTAGCTCGAGAGGCAAATGATCCCGTTTATGGTTTGGAGGACCGGCACAGCAATGAGAAATCACCCAAGAAGAAGGGATCCAACTATAATATCCAAGCCACCAGTGAGTTCGACCACAGGTCTCAGGTTGGGACTGACTCGTCCAAGCGTCAATGTGGCAAGAACGAATTGGTGAAAAAGACAGCTTGTCCATTGTGCTCTGGGGAACATGCACTCGTGGCATGCGACAACTTTGGTAAGATGTCTCCTACTGACCGAGTCAAAGTGGCGAGTGAAAACAAGCTGTGTTTCAACTGTCTCTCCAGTAGGCATTTTTCAAGGCAGTGTAAAGCAGCTCCCTGCAGTTTCCAAGGATGTAGAGGAATACACTCGAGGCTGTTACATGGTGTATTCCAGAGAGCGAATTCTGAAGATGGAGGTGCTCCTAAAGAATCGCCTGATGATCAGAAAGTCGGAGCAACAAGTCTCGCTTGTGGGTCCAGTCAAGAACACTCTAAGATAGCCCTACCAGTTGTCGCCGTGATGGTGAGAGGTGCGGATAGTGGGGAGTGGCTCAAGACAAATGCTCTTCTTGATCCCGGGAGCAACAGGTCGTTCTGCACAATGGAGTTAGTGGAAATGCTGGGTGTAAAGGGCACCCCACAATCTTTGTCTCTGGACACGTTGAACGAGAATGCACAGGTTCAAACAGTTGTGCTTTCGTTGGACGTGTCTGGAATTGTCGGCAAGGCCCATACCAGAAAGTCTTTCTGCATACCAGAGATTCACGCTCTGAAAGAGTTTCCCACTCTGCGAGATTCCTGTGCTACCCTTGAAGATGTGAAGAAGTTTGAACACTTGAGAGACATCCCCGTTCCATGCGTAGCTAAAGATGGTGTAGCGATTCTCATTGGACAAGATGTCCCACAGGCCCTGGTTCCATTAGAGGTGAGGCGTGGTGTGGAAGGCGAACCCTACGCAGTCAGAACCTGCCTTGGATGGACGGTGAATGGACCGTTAGCCAGTGGGAGTCCAGCAGCAGTGTCCAACTTTGTTCAAGGCGGCCTTGAAGCTCAGGTTGAGCGATTTTGGAAGCTTGACACTGCAGACCTATCAGATGACAGAACCATGTCACTGGATGACAAGAAGGCAGTCAAGACATGGAATGACTCAGTCAATCTTGTTGATGGCCACTACCAGTTAGACATACCATTCAAGTCGGACACTCCCGATTTGCCTGAGAACAGGATTGTTGCAGAAAGGCGCTTGCAATCCCTTGCCAAGCGGTTTACCAAGGACCCCGGTTTGCACTCAAGATACTGTGCAGAGATACAAAATCTGTTGAGCAGAGGGTTTGCTGAGAGGGTGCCTGAGCACGAGCTGGCATCATCAACGGGACAAACTTGGTACTTACCTCATCACTGCGTTCTGAACCCCAACAAGCCTGAAAAGCTTAGAGTTGTGTTCGATTGCACTGCCAGATGCTGTGGTACTTCGTTAAATGACAGAGTATTACAGGGGCCGGACATGATGAACAAGTTAGTTGGAGTCCTTACCCGTTTCCGAGAGCACAAAGTTGGATTGATGGGAGACATCGAGCAGATGTTTCATCAGGTTGGAGTCTCCAAGGAACACAGAGATGTGTTACGATTCCTATGGTGGCCTGAAGGGGATGCTACTCGACCTCCTGAAGTGTTTCGTATGACGGTCCACCTTTTCGGAGGGGTATGGAGTCTGAGTTGCGCTGCATTTGCTCTTCGGCGAACGGCAGATGACAACGAGGATATGTTCAGCAGTGATGCAGTCCAGGCAGTAAAAGAGAACTTCTACGTTGATGATCTTCTTAAATCCTTCAAGTCGGAGGATGATGCAGCATTCATGGTGAAGCAGCTGACGCACCTTCTAGCTAAAGGTGGCTTCCACTTGACTAAGTGGATCTGCAGTAGCAGAAAGGTCATGGATTCCGTACCGATGGCTGAAAGAGCCAAGACAGTCACCGACCTGGACCTTGATCATGAACGTCTTCCTGTGGAAAGGGCCTTAGGAGTATGTTGGGATACCGAAAGTGATCAGATTGGAGTCAAGATAAAGTCAAGGCGAGGATGTCACACTAAGAGAGGTCTGTTAAGCATTCTGAGGTCTGTTAAGCATTCTGAGCTCCGTTTACGATCCTCTTGGGTTCGTGTGTCCATTTGTTCTGTTGGCCAAGATCATGTTCCAAAATGAGTGTAGAATAGTTGGGAAGGGCTGGGATGAGCCATTGGAAGTCAGTACGCAAGATCAGTGGACCAGGTGGCTGGATGATCTTCCCAAGCTGGAGCAGTTTTCTGTTGATAGGTGTCTGATTCCTGATGATTTTGGAATTGTTGAGGAATGTCGTTTGCATCATTTTGCTGACGCTTCACAAGATGCCTATGGCTCCGTTTCTTTTGCCCGCTTTGTCAACACTGATGGTGATGTTCACTGCAGCTTTCTGATTGGCAAATCACGACTCGCACCGTTGAAAACCATGACTATCCCTAGACTAGAGCTATCTGCTGCAGTTATTGCAGTGAAGATGGACCAGATGCTCAGAAGAGAACTAAGGGTTCAGGTGAAAGGGTCAACGTTCTGGACAGACAGTACAGTGGTACTCCAGTACATAAGTAACCAATCAAAGCGTCTCCAAACGTTTGTTGCAAACAGAGTTGCCACAATTCATGATGGATCTACCGCCAGTCAGTGGAGATATGTCAATACACAGCAGAATCCTGCTGACGATGCATCTAGGGGGCTCGATGCCCAGAGTATGCTTGACAAGATAAGATGGAGAAAGGGTCCTGATTTCTTGTGGCAGACTGAGGACAGTTGGCCTGTGACTCCACAAATTCCTAGTCTGCTGGAAAAGGACAAGGAAGTGAGAAAGGTAGCACTGTCCCGAGCCATAGATGTCGTTGGTCAGGATGACCCCACTCACAGGTTGATCAGCAGATACTCGTCTTTGTATCGTCTCAAAAGGGCGGTCACATGGGTGCCCAAAGTGGCTGCGACTCCATAGGCCCAGGAACCTGGATAGTGGAGATAAGGGAAACCAGAGGTTGACTGTGGGTGAACTGCAAGATGCGGAGCTGGCCATAATCAGGAGCATTCAGAGAAGGCACTACAAGAAGGAGTTCCGTGATTTGTTGGCGGGAAAGACTTCCGTGCAGAGACAGAGTCCTGTGTATTGTCTCGAACCATGCGTAGATGACCATGGGGTATTGAGGCTTGGTGGTAGACTGCGACACTCTCCAGTCGGGCCCACTTGCAATCATCCAGTGATACTACCTCGTGATAGTCATCTGGCCACTTTGATAGTACGTCATGCACATGAATTGCTATCTGGCCATTCGGACAAAGAGCATGTGCTCTCTGTGATAAGACGACAATATTGGGTTCCCAAGGTGCGACCTTTGATCAACCGCATTTTGAAGGAGTGCGTGCTCTGTAGAAAACTTCGGGGACTGCCTGGCGTTCAACGTATGGCCGACCTACCTGCCTACAGAGTGACTCCAGGCAAACCACCGTTCACCCACGTTGGGGTTGATTGCTTCGGACCGTTTCATGTCAAACGAGGGAGGAGCAGGGAAAAGCGCTATGGCTGTATTTTCACCTGTATGCGAATCAGAGCAGTCCACCTGGAGAAGCTACACTCTCTAGAAACTGATTCGTTCCTCAATGCCTTCCTAAGGTTTGCGGCAAGGCGAGGAACCCCGGAGAAAATCTATTCCGACAACGGGACTAACTTTGTTGGAGCAGAAAGGGAGCTAAGGGCAGCTATTGAGCGCTTACAGGAAAGCAGAAAGGTCGAATGGCAGTTTAACCCGCCAGCGGCCTCCCACATGGGAGGCGTTTGGGAGCGCCAGATTCGTACCTGCCGGAAAGTTCTGAGTTCACTTCTGCGTGATGAGGTACTTGATGACGAGAGACTCGACACATTGTTCTGCGAAGTGGAGTCTATCGTAAATGACCGACCCATCACAGCAGTCTCCGACGATCCGAAAGATCTCGAACCCCTTACTCCCAATCATGTGTTGAAGCTTGGACATGGGCATCCAGTTCCACTCCGTGACTTGAAAGCAACTGACCAGTAAGGGAAGCGATGGAAACACGTACAGTTGCTGGTTGAAAGGTTCTGGAAGCGTTGGACTGCAGAGTATCTTCCCACACTTCAACGCAGACAACGTTGGCTTGAGCCACAAGCCAATTTCAAGGCTGGTGACCTGGTGTTGGTCAAGGATGACAATTTGCCCAGAAGTCAGTGGCCTCTAGCGAGGATTTTGAAGACCTTCCCTGGAGCCGACGGTCTGGTTAGGAGTGTGGAAGTACGGACAGCCACTGGAAGTCATGTCAGGCCAATCACCAAACTGTGTCTGTTAGAAGGTGTTAAAGACTAGAAGCATCTCCTTACCCAATTGGACCAAGTTCTTAGTTATAAGGCAACACGTTTAGGTTCCAGTTTAAAGTTTAATCGTTTTATAAGGTTTACTGTTAAGCTCGGTTACTTGTGTGATTGTAAATGTTCGTTGATTACTCTTACATTTAAGGGGCCGGAATGTAACACATGCTTTCCGTAAGGATTATTTGGACATACATTTTATCATGTTACACCGAAATGTCTTCCGTGGAGGCCAATAATCTCTGTATCACCCACGAGGTCTTAGTCTTGTTTATGTTGTGCATATACAAAGTTTCGTGCTATAGAGTCAAGACACAGACATATGCTAGTGTGCATTGTTTCATGTGGGCTTTCTGCATCAAGTTCACAGTTTTGGGGAAAGATAATCTGCCCAAGATCTTTGTTTTAATTAATAACTATTAGAAAGCGACATTCAAGGCAGTTTGACCTGACGTCTTTTCTGCTAGTTTGCTGTAGTTGATCTGTGCTCAACAAAGTCGTGAGTCTTTGGTTTCATGACTATTTTGCGTGCAATCATTGTTAGGATTGGGACTCTGAGGGGCAGACATGTTTGGGGGGAATAACACATGGGGATTTGTAATGCTGTCACATTCCTGATTTTGTTATTATATCTGTTCGACACTAAATTAACTGAATAATTTACTCCTCATATGGTTTAAGTATGTGTATTGTTTTAGTGTCATGAAAACATACTTACAATTGTTATTTGATCTGTGGTTAATTTCAGATTAAACCTAGTTATATTCCACAAGTAGCCTACATTTGTGTGGAAAGCGTCAATGACCTCATGAGAGTGCAAGGGTTTATGCAAACAAGGCAGCAGAATTGCGTTACACAGACAACCTAGCTTAGGATCAGTACCCCAGCAGCCGGGAATGCAGGCCTGTTTGGATGGATGGAAATATACCGCCCTATAAGTGTAACGGCACTCACCCACCCCTTCAGCCTCCAAGATGGACAAGGACAGACAATTAAGTACACAACAGTCAATGACCTCGATTACTGATTGATTTATTTACACCGAATTATGTCTTAATGATGGACCTCTCGTTAAAATAGCCTCTAATAGGTGATTGGTCTCTGAGCCTCTCAATTATCTCTACATGGGTAGCCTCGCATAAGCCGCTATGGTAAGGCAGTGCTGGGCAGCACGGCGATGCCTGGCTGGGGATAGCCTCTGAATCCGGGGAAACCGTACGCCTCTGGCATTCCTGTGCGCCTCCACTCTCCCGCCCTCGACCGTTTCCAGTCAGGATCCTTCCTCGAGGCAGCGGGTAGATGAGCGCGCCCTTCCGGCTCCGTCACGTTACAATCGGCAGATCGCTGTATGTTGCTCCGCCTCCAGTAGCCTCCGCGGACTCCGTGCCTCCTTATGCCAGCCCGCCTTCACCGCACCACCCAGCACACGCCTGTCAGCGCGCGCAAGCTAATGCCTACCGTCTCTTCCCCGTAGATGCTCTCGGCGTACGCTCGGAAGGTTGTGTCTGAGGTTGTGTCTGAGACTAGGCTGCTATAGTAATTTGCGCCACAATATCGTAAAACTAAACGAGTCTAAAAATCGTAGATTTCCTATCGAAATCGAAATATACTTTTTGAAGAATTTTTAGCGATAACTTGTATTTCTGTTTCGCTATTGTATTTTGTCATATCCTGCATGATTAAATGCGCGTCGTAATTTTGTAAATTGTGAAAAAAGACCAGTATCGGTGTACAACTGGGTTTAATTCTCAGTTTAAGGTTACAATAGGCGTGTGCAGCACCTCTATATCTACCCGTGACGTGACAGTGATCTCTCACCCTTCTAAATTTGCTAATCTTCTTTTTGCAGTTTAGACATTTAAACTTGGTAAATCCCTTATTGTTCACGTATTCTTCTTTTTCTTTTTTCTTTTCAGGTTCTTTGGGGTTTTGACATTGACAATTGGTCGAGTTTTCATAATCGTCCATGGGTTGACAAAGATTAAATATAGCATTTATTTCTAACTGTAATTCTAACACGGTTTTTACAAATTTAATTGCGGCATCTTTACCTCTATAAGTCTGTTGATACATATTTTTACCGTCGCATCAGACGACGACCAGCGAATAACCGCTAGCTCAGTGAACATGGGTCTTTTTTTGTGTTTGCCTCTTCACCCGATGCTGGTGTTTTTTCTAATATAGATTCAAAGTCAGGATAAATGACAAATGGTGCTTTTTGTTTATGCCTACAGTTTTTAAATATTGGTACGTCTCTTTCGACTAGTTGTCAGTTTTCGTATTTTGGTTTACCCGTAGGAAATACAATATTTGATGGATGTGCATCTATACCCTTACAATCAGCGGTATGTCTTTCTAATTTTGCTTGATTGGTGAAATGACAATGACATCTTCAACACAAATATTTCTAACATTGATGTTTCGTAACGTCGTTAAGCAATCTCGTAAAATGTTTTATCCAACAATAGTGATTCTTGTCACCTTTAGAAAACAAAAGCAGATCGACCTCTCGTGACTCTGATTCAAAGTTTTTAGACACGTATAATGGATATATATCACACTCATAACCATACACATGTACATTTATCAATAAATTATTTTGTTTTTCTATCATGGGTATCTGATCAACCATTGTTGGAAAGTCAACGCCTTTCAATTTGAGTCCGTCGTTTTCAGTGTAAATCGATTAAATGCTTTCGTTGATTTTATATTTAGGATTATTTTTGATTTGATTTTTTACTTTATCCGTGTACAATCCTAAGGCAGCTCTCAAACACCATCTCAAACACTCATAATCTTCGTTTTGTATGTTGATCATCGCCTGTTTAATTTTGAGATGTTCGGGTAGATTTATATAAGAACTACCCCTCGCGGGATTAAATCTGTTTACGTTGATGTATAACGCGAGTATTTTATCAACTACCCAACCCGATCCTTAATTCGTATTGTTGATGTACCCTAACGTGGCGCGGCCCCTAACGTGGCGCACTTTGATTTTTTGCCTGTATCGCCTAGCTAGAGCAAAGGTTTTAACTGAAATTTCACAGAAAGTGAAATTTCATCAAGTTCTAAACACTCCCGTTTATAAATCGCGAGTTTATTTACCCGTTACAAAGTTAAAAGAAAAAATAATTTTGGCGTGATTTTCCGATTTTATTTTCAAGTGCAAAGTGAACCCTTTGAAAATGCCCCGAAAAATAAAAAAAAAAATTTTCTGACAAACATCTGGCTAGGTTTGTAAGTTAAGATAATAATGATTTATCAGAATTTATCAAGTTTACAGAAATTCCTAAATGTTAATTTGGAATTTTCCGAGATTTATTCAAGTGCGCCACGTTAGGGAACACTCCGCCAATTTGTGCCCAATTTCCGGACGCGACCGTTTTTGCATTTCGGATGAAATTTTGTGAAACCGAAATTGTTCACAGAGGTTAAACAGCAAGCATTAAAAAGGTAAAAGTACCAGTATTTCACTGCATAAATTTGAGGTTTATCAAAAAAGAGGTTTGGCAACACTACACAAGGAAAGTTGGGTAAGCTTCGAAGTGCGCCACGTTAGGGAACACGACTATATACCTTTCATCCTTTTTTAATAGCTTATCGATCACTTCTTTTAAAACCCGTTTTATTTGACTTTGATTTAAAACGGCTCTCTGCTTGCTATAATGAATAGCTTCGATCGTTTTGATTATATATGTGGTTTGATTTTTTGATCTTATTTTTAGTACAAGCTCTACTTTAAACCTCTGAGCTATCTCAATTCCGATATGATTTTATTTACTATTTGTCCCTTGTGAGAATAAAAAAAATTGACTAAATCGTTGTTATAAAGTCTAGGATTTAATTCCCAGTTTCTAGTAATTTTTAAACCTTCTCGTTTCTCTAAAAGCTGCCTCTGTATAAAGTCTTCGGGTTGTCTGTATGTTTTAATCGCCGAGATTACATTTTTTTTCTTCAAAAATCGGCCTTTATAACCTGTCGGTACAAATTCTAAATTATGATCGTCTACAATTGTTTTAAGTTGACGTGTCTTTTTATTCAAGTTTTTAAATTGACTTTCATAATTTTTTATCCCCTCGATATAGACTTTTAAGAGTAAGATAAACATATTCATTGTGCGGTATTATATCGCTGCACATAATCACAGAGCGTTGCTTTATTCCATCTAGAAAATCCTTTAACGGTCGGTCTGATTATATTTCTCTCCATTTTATTAGGCCTAGGCCTAGTTATATGTCAATATAATTTTTTTTTTCTCATTTTTTCTGGAGGACTTCAGATTTCTAGAAATTTAGCACTGGGGGATTCCCCCTTTTTTTTCCCCAACTATTTTTTAGAGCTTCCAGGCTTGCCACAGATTCTTTTTCATTTTGGTCCGGAACCACCACTCTCCCAACCTCAACTCCCTGCGGGGTGTGCAAAATCGTATTAAAATTGGAGGATTCAGGATTAGCTTACTCTGAATCTGATTTTTTACAACATCCGCACTGACCGCAGCACTTGATTCCATCATGATCGTCCCAGGGCATGCAAGGGATAGCCTGGAGACGTACGAGGGACAAGATACCAATCCTGCCCTGATCCTGGACCTCCGTCGAAAAGAATGAGACTTATAGACAACCTCGTCCCCAGTGCTTACTTTATTTCCAACCGCGTTTCCAATAGTGAGAGAGCAGGTAGTGGTGGGCGCGTACTGCTCGACACCCTGGGGACGAGGTTGACTTATAGATGATCGGATCTGCAGGTGGTACCCGTACACTGTGTGTTGCAGCGTAACTAGGAATCAACGGATTTGTAAATTCAGTGCGCCGAAACTAGGAATTTCAATTTCGGTATCGTTTTTGTAAATCCGGTGTGGTACTGTCTCGTTCACGAACATAACACTGGTACGGCCGGTAAAACCATAGAGCAACTGTTCCTTGCTCTATGGTAAAACAAGGATTATTTTCATTACTATTAATTAATGGAAGGCCCCAAAAATTAGATATTGGGTGTTAAGAAAATCTGGGTAGTTCGGTCAAGCAAAACTATTCTAAGACTGAATGATCACTGTACTAGTACATATAGAGCAACGTAGTAAAAAAAAACATGCCTGTGCTTCCGTACGTCTGCTAATGTGCTATGCCTAAAAAGCGCGCGCCGGGTGGGTCTTATTCATCATAAATGGTAGATTCCGTTAGTTGATGTTTAAATTTCCCGGTGATAACAATAAAATAAATAAATAAATAAATAAATAAAAGCGCTTTCTAATAAATACATGTAAATGTTTTAATTACAAAGCGCTTTTATTTTTTGCTACTTTTTTGGTTATTACCTGGTATTATATATATCTCAAGCACGTGCACGACTAGTCAGCCATGTCGAATTGAAAGAAAAGCATCATTTCGGAACTTGCAAGTAGACAGTAAATTACAAATTCTGCTCTGATAATTTCGACTTTTGAACATGTATAGGCCTAGGCCTATACCCGGACCCTACCGTAACGCGTAAATAGTGTGCAGCACCATCAGATTGAACAGTTTACATTAAAATACATAGGCCTCTTAGCCCGCTTAAAAATCGCTTCCTTGTTTAATAAGGTTGACGGGTCATTTTGCAATTGTTAATCGATCAAACAGTCAACTACTTCTAATAAAGTCTCATGAACATGGGCGTCGCTTGCCTCCTCTGGAAAAGCCCCCCCCCCCCCAAAAAATAGTTTAAATTGGTTCGGGGATGTCTCTGCCCCCTCGAAAAATGATAAATCGAGAATACGCTGGAAAAGTACAGGGATTGGGGGGGGGGGGGGTGTAGTTTGCCCCCGGCTCTATAACTAACAAAAAATCCTAACGACGCCCATACTAATGAACATATAACCCGCCAATCTTTACCGTATTTTAGAATAAGCTTGTCGAGGAATTCCAGCAAGACAATATCCTGCGTGAAATTTTAACTGCTGATTTTTTTCGGCAAGCTGTTGGATCATGGTTGGACAATGTGAAGAAAAACAACGACGTAAGGCCAACAGGTAATCCAAAAATAACAATAGGCCTATACAATATACTTTTATTTCTTCTACGAACAACTCCACTACTTCCTTTGTAAGTTGACCACATCGCAAGACCATGGCTGAACTTTTTGTTTAAAAGTTGGCAAGACCTTGAACATTTTTAAAAGGAAAAGAATGAATTTCCAATTTCTTTGCATAAATTCCACCCCCCCCCTTTTTTTTTTTATAGTGCTTAGTGATTTTATGGGAGAGCCAGCTACTTGCTTTTATGGGAGAGCTACTTGACAGTGATTTAGTTCACTTGTTAGCAATCCCGCAGGGGTGTGCAATTATCTTGGTTTAAGGGTCTTAGTCCTTTTTTATGGTTTAATGTGTATTTTTTTTTTTTTACTTATGTTTTTTTTTTTTTGGATGTCTATACTGTCTGTAATATTATTTTTATTTTTGTTTTACCCATTGTAAATTTGACCTGCGAAATAATAAATGAAATGAAATGGAAAAAAACGCAGTGTCAAGGCCCTGCATCAGTATTATCATGGAGCTATGAACGTGGGCAAGATGATGGGAAACCCTAAGGACAAACACTAATACTTTTCATATTTTGTCATTTTCTATGAATCTGTAGTGCCACTAAAACAAATTACGTTAACAAAATAAACAGTCCGTCCTTAACACACTTCTGCCATTTGTATAGAATGTCAAGACCCTGAGTGAAAAATCCTTTCAGGCGAACTTTTATCAATAGATAAAAATGTGAAAATATAGGGGGCCTACCAGGCATGATAAACGTTAAGAAAAACACTGGAAATTCCTAATTTCGTTGCAACGAAACTACTAATATCCCCATTTGCGTCATTAAATAACACATTACTGCCAATGTTTTTTTCATACGCTGTCAAGACCCTGAGTGAAATATTTGAAATATGGGCCGTGATGAGAAATTCTAAAGAAAACTAATAATAGTACACAACCTACGACGTGCGTTTCCCGCACTGACCAAGTGAAACATAGGGCAAGTTCGCGCAAGGACTATCCAAATAGTTCATTTCTGAAAATTACATCCCAAACCAATGATGTACATTCCCTTTAACCATTGGTCGACTAACGCTTGCCCGAACTCTGTCTAGTCGACGATGGTTAAGGCCAAGTTCCGGCAAGGACCATTAGTCGACTAGTGGTTGATTTGTGACGTACCTTACGCCTGCGCACTAATAGCAAAGTGGGAACGTCTCAGGCTAGTCGAACGCTGGTCAAAATGTCATTGCAAAACGTCTGGATCCTGGCTCCCTGCTGTACGTTATGAACGCGCGCGGCTATGGTTACCAGCGATGCAACCAGCCCGGGGCAAGTTCGCGCAAGGACTATAGTTAACCATTGGTCGACTAACGCTTGCCCGAACTCTGTCTAGTCGACGATGGTTAACTACGCTAGTCGACTATTTGGAACCAACCTACTGGGGTTGGTTGCTTCGCTGGTAACCATAGCCGCGCGCGTTCATAACGTACAGCAGGGAACCAGGATCCAGACGTTTTGCAATGACATTTTGACCAGCGTTCGACCATGGACGTTCGCACTTTGCTATTAGTGCGCAGGCGTAAGGTACGTCACAAATCAACCACTAGTCGACTAATGGTCCTTGCCCGAACTTGGCCTAGGTTGGTTCCAAATAGTCGACTAGCGTAGTTAACCATCGTCGACTAGACAAAGTTCGGGCAAGCGTTAGTCGACCAATGGTTAACTATAGTCCTTGCGCGAACTTGCCCCTACTGGGGTTGGTTGCTTCGCTGGTAACCATAGCCGCGCGCGTTCATAACGTACAGCAGGGAGCCAGGATCTAGAAGTTTTGCGATGACATTTTGACCAGCGTTTGACTAGAGACGTTCGCACGTTGCTATCAGTGCGCAGGCGTAAGGTACGTCACAAATCAACCACTAGTCGACTAATGGTCCTTGCCCGAACTTGGCCTAGCTGGCTGCGCTGATCTGAGCATCACCGAATTTGTAAATGCGATAACGAAACTAGAAATTGGACGACAGTTTCGGCCAAAGATCCTATAGCGCCGCTTGCGGCGGTAATTCGGCGGAGTGTTAATTTTGCAGCGAAATTAGGAAACGCCCATCTCACCAACGTATGTACAGTCATGACAGTTGGAAAGCCTACTACTATCTACTACTGCTGTTATTGTTAAGGTTTCAAACTTGCTTCAAAGGTCACGGTAACGTATTGTACTATCATTGTCATTATCATTAAGTAGGCTGTTATTATGTGTGATATAATATATGTATAAATGTACAATACTGGAGAGATTTTGGGGTGATAAAATTGGATCCAGATTGAATTTAGGCTAGGCCTAGCCTACATTACAGTCGTTTTTCTAGTTCCGTTTTTTTCCTAGTTCCGGATCGCTTCAAATAAAAACCTACCTCTTTTTGATTAGTCTCCAACAAAAAAAAATCTGTGCATATTGAAAAGGAAAATGTAAGCTTCTTGATACCCAAAGATCTTTTCGATAAAATCTTTAGAAGAGGAATTTTGGCCAGATTTCCGACTCGCACTCCGACATGTTTGGACGGTTTAAAGAAAATCATGGGAGCTGCGTATCGACGATAAATTTTCTCCTCGGTATATCTCTCGTACAGTGTGGTTTCGAATATTTTTTTCATTCACTACAATCGTATAAACTCTTCCATCGAAGTCTGTTCAATCAAAATAAGTTGTAGCGTCTCTAATATTTGAAAATTCGCCAACGAATGACCGTATGCTTTTGCCTAGTTCCGGATCGCGCGTGCACTTACAACCTAACTAGGCCTACACGCGCGTTAATCGATTTTGTGTGACGTATTCTGTGCTGGGTCAAAGATTTTCGATCCGTGCGTGAGTTCGAGCCGTGGCGCTGCAAACAAAAGTTTCAAAATCATTTACGTTTTTTCTCTTTTTAAAATTTGCTGGAATTCTCTTGCATGAACTATTTTTGGATAACGAAATAATACTTTATCAGAAAATATGTTTGATTCGGTTGGTTCTGGCTGAAAAAAAGGATTTTCTCGCGTGATTTTTTTTTTCGCATGAAGCAGTTTTGATCGATTCGGAACTGATTGAACCGATCCGGAACTAGGAAAAGTGACATCGGCACTTTTGACGTTGTAAAATCAAAATGAAAAGAGCGTAAATTTTGAAAATTATTTCGTGGTCTCTCCATCACTCAAGGTAAACTTTTTAATCAATGTCACTTGAATTCGTGGAGTAGTTGAGCCGAAATCAGCCTGAATGATGTTTGCTATCCGGAACTAGGAAAACGACTGTACTCCTAGAACATGTAGAACTATGAGTATGAGGCTCCACGTAGTGGAGGCTCCACTATGTGGAGCCTCATAGTTCTAGGAGTAGGCCTACATGTATTGTTGTAGGCTAGGCCCTAGTCGTTTTCTCCGAGTACAGTTGTTTTCCTAGTTCCGGATAGAAAACATCATTTAGGCTGCTTTCAGCTCAATTACTCCATGAATTCAAGTAACATTGGTTCAATATTTGACCTTGAGTGATGGAGATACTACATAGTTATTTTCCAAATTTAGGCTCTTTTTATTTGGACTTTACGACGTCAAAAAGTACCAATGTCACTTTTCCTACTCCTAGTTCCGGATCGGTTCAGTCAGTTCCTAATCGATCAAAAACTGGGGAAAAAATTCCATACTCGATCGCCACTTTTTTTCAATTAATTTTCTAGCACCAAAGTTACATCTTTATGGTAGCTGGAGTTACCCAGCCCTAAATTTTATCATTGGGTTGTCATTTAGGGCTGGAGGACACTTTTCACGTAAACCAGCAGAGTTGGCAGGTCCCAAAAAAAATTGCGAAAAAATTGCGAAAATGTTCAATTTTGTCTCCATTACACACTAATTACAACTGCAACTCACCCCAAACTTGCCTGGAATAACCATTACACAGGTCCATGAATTAAAAAACGATCCACGATAAAGATTCGGACTATCGGTTGCCGTTCCAGTACCGCAGCTGTGATGCGAGTGGTAAACCTCATATTGGTGCATGAAACAGTCTTCGGGTGTTACGCTTCCGCGTGACGTCATGCGCCAACAGCCAGCGCAGCCGGCAAAAACGACTAGTACCAGCGCGCTGTGCATGGTAATCTACCGCCATACACTGTACACAATTTTTGTGTGTGCACAAACCAATTGCAGTCCTCGCCATGCCTGCTAGGTTGTCAGGTTAGTGGTTATTGCAATTGTAGGCTGAATCTTCATCGTGGATCGTTTTTTACTTCAAGGACCTGTGTAATGGTTATTCCAGGCAAGTTTGGGGTGAGTTGCAGTTGCAATTAGTGTGTAACAGGGACAAAATTGAACATTTTCGCAATTTTTTCGCAATTTTTTTTGGGACCTGCCAACTCTGCTGGTGAAAAGTGTCCTCCAGCCCTAAATGATAACCCAATGATAAAATTTAGGGCTGGGTAACTCCAGCTACTTTTATGGTTATTCCCTCCACTTTCCCTCCTCTACTCTCACCCTCTCCTTTCCTTAATTTCTATTTATCAATCAGTCACTTACTTCATTGAGATTCGAACCTCGGACGCTTGCTTGATACACGAGACTCTTAACTGCTAGGCCGCGCACGATCGCTGTTGCAATGATCAATCTTTGGACGTATTTGAAGTATCCATTGAAATAAACAAAATATTCATGAGAAAATAAATAATCATAATGACGTATTGCACTATCATTGGCTGGCTCATGCGACGTCATGCGTATAACGTACCGCTGTTCCAGACACTTCAATCAGTTTTGACCGGCTGCTTCAACTCAGATCTGCACTACATGTGCATCCAAAATGTGCTCTAAAAACACATTTTTACTAATTTGTTTTCGCATGTCCGCTGTTTACTGGATTCCTCTTGGTTGAAATCAAAATGTGATGTGAAAATTTATTTGTTTGGCGGCAGGTAAGTGGTGATCGGGTATGGATTTTTCCCAAAAACGGCTTCACGCAAAAAAAAGAATCACGCGAGAGAATCTTTTTTTTTTTCAGCCAGAACTTACCGAATCAAGCATATTTTCTGATAAATGAAGTTGAAACGTTTGTCTGCAGCGCAACGGCACGAACTCAAGCACGGACCGAAAACATTTTGACACAGCACACAGAATACGTCACACAAAATTGATTAATGCGCGTGTAGTTGGTTCGTAAGTGACGAATAGGTACACGCGCAGGTAGTCAACTGCATACGGTCATTCGTTGGGAAATTTTCAAAAATTAGAGACTCTACAACTTATTTTGATTCAACAAACATTTGATGGAAGAGTTTATACGACTGTAGTGTATAAACAAAATATTCGAAATCACACGGTACGAGTGATGTGCCGAGGAGAAAATTGTCTATTTTTCGTGAAAATTTCCAGATTCGTTTGCACACATTTGCGCATCAAAGTTTCAACATGAAATTTCACGAAAATTAGACACCTGAAAAAGGCAGCACTTTCTGATTAGCCTATGAAGAGGGTGAGTATGCTTCTAAAGCAAAAATAAACTGCAAACTAAGGCTAAATGTGAAAATCAAAATTTGACAAAGTTCGACATGTTTTTGTACATGGTGGAAGTGTGGCCTTTATTTACGGAGGTAGTCCAGTAAATTGGCCTCATTTATGGGGCTAGTCGATTCGCAGCTCCCGCGATTTTCTACAAACTGTCCAAACAAGTCAAATTGCGAGTCGGAAATCTGGCCAAAATTCCTCTTCTAAAGATTTTATCGAAAAGATCTTCATGTATCAAGAAGCTTATATTTTCCTTTTCAAAATGTACTTCGTCAGAAAAAAATTATTGATACAAATCCCAAAGAGGTAGGTTTTTATTTGAAGCAATCCGGAACTAGGAAAAATCCGGAACTAGGAAAACGACTGTAGTACTACTAGTAGTTATGTTATCCTCTCCGCCTAATTTTGGGGTTTGTGTAGTTGAGGACACCTCCTTTTTATGTTATTCTTTAAAAAGTTTTGTCGCTTCCCCAAAGTCTGTTAGCTCAGAAAACGTTCTCTCAATTAAACTGACCCTACATTTTTTTTTATTTAGAACAGTAAATTGGAAAAAAATTGGCTTTCTTACCTGATTTTCCGGAATTAAACAAGCATGCGTAAACTTACTGCACCGCGGTATGGAACTTGAGCTAGTCTGGTTCCCAGACCGAAAGATTCTGAATAGTACATGTATAATTTCCAATGTGGAATCAGAAGTACTAGGCTGCATTACATCAACCAATCACCGACGGTCTACCAAACTGCTTGGACACTATTGCCAAGTTTGGTTTCAGCATTTTGATTTTTATTGACCTCCTTTTACCCCATAATTTCTAGTGGAGGGGCCAATGTACTTCCGTTGGCATGAAATGTTAGTTTTTGGCAATTGGTTGGACCTTCTTCTGGGATGTTTTAACTTAACAAAAAATTGATAATGCCATTTTTTCTGACCATTTTCTGATACCTTAATCTTATTTTCCATGATATACCCCAAAACGGGTTAAAATGCACACAATATAGTGGTAGAAATAGGAGCTTAAGTATTGATTAAGTATCCATTTACCCCTTTGGGGTTTTTAATAATGCTTCTTATACTAAGTAACTGCTCTGCATGCGTTTTTAAAGTCCTGTTAGTGTGTGGAGTATACAGCTGAATTTTCCAGTAAAATATCAACGTATTTCCGACTATTTATTAACATGACGTATTTTGCTGGAACATTACATACATGTACATACACTCTTAGATCTTACAGCAAACACATGTTCATCTGTCTAATGTTTATAAAGGATTGTGTCCATGGCGGACCATACCAGCAGTACAAACTGCTGCAGTGTCAGAAGTAAATTGAAGGATCATCCTCCTCATCATCGTCGTCACTCGAGCAACGTGACAGGTTGGCATACAAATGCCTTGATGCCTCCTTCTGTTGCGGCTGTCAGCTTGCAGGCAGCTCCCAACGCAGCAAAGGCAGAAAACACCTCAGCAGAACACTAATTTAGTGTCTGCCAACAATTGAGCTTGCCCTTCACCGCAAACTTGCCCGTCTGCTCGGCTCCAGTGAAAGCATGGAAGCCTGCATTTGTGGAGGCGCCGAGGGCATTGGCTATTATTGGTGCCAATTGTATTTCCTGTTTCTTAGTCCCAGTGCCACTCCAACCAAAGAAACAAAAACAAATTCAACAAACGAGCTGT